GTATGTAGTGTTCAGAGAAGAGCCTAGCAAATAGTATTTGATCACCTAAGGAATGTTTGGAACTATAGGTGTAAAGTTTCTTAGTCAGAAGCAATAATTGACTAGAATAAATATTAAACATGGCATCAATGCACCTATTTGTATGTTATAGATATTATTTCAAGTTTCCCAACAGGGTTTGTAACTTCTTTTAATCAATGAATAATTACAGCAAAAGAAGTTAAAAATATTAACTAATAAGTTATGCCAACCTCTTCTACCCTCTGGACAATAAGATAGTCAGTGTAACCGTAGACACACACTCTAAAGGCAGGTGACCTTGCCTCCAATTGTTACACCTCCTACAAGTGGCATACGCTGTAAATCACTATGAAGTTGCCATCTCTTTCCCCTCCTGTTGTCTCCACAGGGGATGATGATGGCAGCTGCCTCATCAGCCAGATGAGAATAAATTGAACCAGTACCGCAGCAATGATTGGTGCACAGTGAGTGCTACTGCAGTCATTGCCACATACCCCTGTGACTCCTCACCCATGTGACTCCTTGCTCACATTCAAGCTGTCCTTACCACTGCATGTGCTTCCTCATTCTCCTTCATCCCCACTTTTCATGTTAGTCTTCCTTTCCCTGCCTCTGCCAGCTTCGTCTCTGGAACTTCTGTGAGTCAGATGCGACAGGGCCCCCTCTCTTCTCAGCACATCTTGCTGTGGAAATAGATTTGAGACAGTTAAGGACTTCAGTCCACTTGTTCAATCTTAAAAATCGATGCTCAAGTCTTGACATGTAGTGAAGGCTTATTGTGGTTTTTCACAGCACTACAGGTGTGAAAGTTTAAACAGCGCCACATGAAACATTAACCAAGATCACTGTGATTCTACAGCTGCTTGTCCCTATACACCAGCTCTGCTTCCAAGAGATTCATCGGCACAATTCCCATTTCATTTGGTTTTCTGGAGTGCAATGTGGCTGTGACCTTGGAGACATTCCCCATTGCTGTTTTATTTAGTGGTGAGGCTCTTTGAATATGAGTAGGCATGCATCCTTAGAATCCTGGGAAAGAAAGATTGCTCTCATGTAAAGCTTTGTCTGGTGGCGTGATTACTTTCTTGAACCAGGAGATAGACAGGGTAAAGTGGCAATTGACTAACTCACACCCTATGGGCTGGAAAGTGTCTTTCAATTGTCTCAGATACCAGCTAGTTTCAAAAGTCTTTCCAAAAAATATTTCCCAGACCTGGCAATGCATTGTACATTTCTTATTTGTTTGCATTTTACTTTAGTGTCACCATTAAATGCATAACAAATGAAAGGTTTATTGTATCTATGAACTGCAATGATTGGAAATGTGTGCTGATGTCTTGAAACTGAAATGCCAATGTGAAGAGATTAAGACATTGGCTTTCAGAGGCATCTAGCTCCTGAGGACTCCACCTCATGCATGGAGCTTGGCCCTTATAGAGATAGGGTCTTTCACCTCGGTAGTGGTGGCACATGTCTTTAATCCCAGCACTCAGGAGGCAGAGGAAGGTGGATCTCTGTGAGTTCAAGGCCAGCCTGGTCAACAGAGCGAGTTCCAGGACAGCTAAGGCTACACAGAGAAACTCTGTCTTAAAAAACAAACAAACAAAAAAAAAAATAGAAAAGAGAAAAAAAGGGAGTCTGTCAGCATTTACCCTCTTCTGTCTCCTCTTCTACCCCTTGGTGACTCTGCATTCTTTCCCTCGAGAATGCAGCAAGGAGGCTCCATCTTAGACGTGAGAAAGACACTGACCCTGGTGGTGCCTTGATGGTGAATTGTGGCATCCAGGACCGTGGAAGATGCAGTTCTGTCCTTGACCCAGTTCTAGTAGTTTTGAAACAGCAGCACATAAGCTGAGGCATACATATTGTGCTTTCAGGAAATGAGAGGGAAGTTCTTCAGCTCCTCACGGTTGGCTTTGTAATCTTCAAGTATCCACAGCATGTCACCCACATGCCTCCAGTGCCCCACACCAGTCCCCTCATTTTTGTGAGGTTGTATTGCAGGGACAAGTGACTTTTTTCACTCTTCCCCATGGTTCACCACGGTGTAGCAGGAATCTTAAAAGTTCTTATTAATAAAATCAAACCCGAGGCCAGTTATTGGGGTGAATACTGAAAGGTCAGAGAGACAGAACTAGCCACAGCTTTCTCACCTTGCCGGATCCTCAGTTGGTCTTGTCTCCTCAGACTGGAGGCCTCTGAGTCCTCATGCGGAATGGGTCTCAGCTGAATTACTGCTCAACAGCCTGAAAGCTTAACCAGCCGAATGCTTAACCAGCCAAATGCCTCTAGTTTCTGGTCCTCACGCCTTATATATCTTTCTGTTTTCTACCACCACTCCCTGGGATTAAAGGCTGGCTTTCTGGAATTAAAGGCGTGTGTCACCATGCTTGGCTGTTTCCAATGTGGCCTTGAACTCACAGAGATCCAGAGGGATTTCTATCTCTGGAATGCTAGGATTAAAGGTGTGAGTGCCACCATTTTCTAGCCTTTGTATCTAGTGGCTGTCTGTTCTCTGACCCCAGATAAATTTATTAAGGTACACAATATTTTGGGGAACACAATACCACCACACCATGGTGCCAGGAGAGGACAGGTGCATGGTACCTGTCAATGAGGGACAGGATAGACGTGCTTGTCTTCCAACTGAGGCTCAGAAAACTTGGGTTCACAAAATTCTTGAGAGTGGTGGCAATGAAGTATTAGCAAAAGAGGAAATGGTTGATGACAGGAACTCACAAACTAAAATGGATAGTATGACTTTAAAAGACCAAGTTGTGGTCAGAAGTTATTTTTTATTCTTTTGTATTTCTTGATGTTTCTTATGTTTTTTGACCTTGTGAGAGCTAAGAAGAACAAAGGAGGACTTGAAAATTTTACAAGATTGCTTTTATGTTATGCTAGTAAATTATCAAAGCCTAAAAATACTGAATTATTTTATTTAAATAATTGGCAACTATATCACATAAACCCATACAGCATAAGCAGAATGAATGATTTTGTAATTATTGTTTGATTGAGACATTCTTTAATTATTAAGTCAAGAGAATTCATTCTGTGAGCTTAGTCATTTACTCTTTTTGATTACTGAAGTGGAAAAATAATTATTTTATTTCCCTGCTCTGATTTGTTTAGTTTTTAAAAGGTGAAAGTAGTGAGTTATGAATGAGAATAAATATTTTAAATGTCTTATTTAAAATATATTTTAGATGGCTTAAAACTGAGAAAAAATCTGACTCAACTTCTGATATCTGCACCTCAGAGTCAGACTCCCTCTTGTGTGATGAAATCAGAATCTGGACGACCCAGATCCGTCTCTGGGTAGCAGTGCCTCATTTGGTGAATGTACTTCCGCATTTCACTGCCACCGTGCATCCCCCGTGTTTGGGAGGCCTGTCACCTCAATTGCCCCATGAAACTCCACTTAAAGGTACTTTTTACATTTATTCTTTGAGGGTTTCATATATGCATAAAAGGTATTTTGATGATATCAGCCCCCCATTTCCCACTAACTCTTACCAGACCCTCCACATTTCCCTCTCAACTTCAGGTTCTTTTTTCATTAACCCACTGAGTCTGGTTAGTGCTGCCACTATGTACATGGGTCTAGGGTCATCTATTGGAACATGAGCAACCTACCAGGAACTCTATCTCTGATGAAAACTGACTTTCCCATACCAAACAGTCACTAGTTGTCAAAGGCTTCTCAGCTACACTTGGCACTTATAAGCCACACTCCCCATCCCAACACTGGAATTTTGACTAGCTAGATCTTGTGCAGACTTTGGGCACACAATCATAGTTGCTGTGGAAAACTCTAGGTATTGATCCAAAATTTGCCCAAGACTTCACTGAGGCAAAGGGGCAGGGATAGACGTTGACACAGACCTGTCAGATTCTAATACTGTTTCCATAACTTTGATGGGAAGTACACAGTGAAGAGTCTGCCCTTCCAGAAGCTTCCTCCATCTGTCTGCCCTTGAGAGTGATTTCTCTTTTATTAATATCTTCCTCTGTCCTTATCATGACTAACTATCAAACTAGACCAGTCTGTTTCCTAACTTCCCCCTAATTTAAATCATTTTCTACTCTTAAGAAATGTCTCAACATTGTGAGTCTTCTTGATGATTCTTCTGTAGGCTGGCTCAGATCCCCTGGCAACTGCTTTTCCTCCCAGGCATGCACAGAGTTACACTGCTTGTCCTGGGCCCCTTCTTGGAGTTGTGTTCGATATCCAGATGTCACTTAGAGAGCATGATCAAGCATACAAACTTGGATCCTATGAGCATCACAGTATGCCCCTCTTATTCATTCCTCTTTATTGGTAGGTGGAGACTCTGGGACCCACGGGAAGTAACACCTGTGAGCAGGAAGGGGGCATAGCTCTCAGGAACTATGTGGTGATTGAGGTGTATGGAACAGTTGTACACCTCTGCTGGTCTTCATGTGGCAAGAAAAAGATCTGTATTATGTTACCTTTGAACTCTTCTTTCTAGTCATTTATTTTTCCAAGGCAGTGGATGATTTCATGTTTTTCCCCTATTTTTCATATAATTTTTGTATATATGTTAATTCACGCATATGCTTTTTCTCAATCTTTTATATAAATGGTACAGTTAATAAACATTTGCTGTTTATTCCATATGCAGCATACTTCGGCAGATGTTCTAGGGAAGGCGCTTTGGTCTGCTTTGTACAAATGGATTCCAGTTTCACTGTAGTTCATGCAAACATGTGTGGACTTAGCTAGTAATTCTTTACTGATGATGATATTTCAAGAGCCTTTATTTTGAATTAATAACAGGTTATAAAAAGAAAATTCTTAGCCATATGTAAGGAGACATGGTTGACCCACTTTTTGCACTTAAATTCTTAGAAATCAAAGTTTTGCTTCAATAGATATATCTATTTAATATTGATATATAAGTAGCCATCACACAACTTGATGGTCTGAAATAAATGCATTTATCTTTCAGAATCTACATTGAAATCTCCAGGTCAGCTATACATTTCTAAAGACTTAAAGGAAAGTTCATTGAAACCAGCTGGGCTTGGTTTTATCTTCAGCTGCTGGCTGATCTGGCTAGACCAAGATAGTCTCACTCATGTATCTGCTGGTTGGACAACTTTAATCTGGAAAACCTTAAGTAACCAGGTAGTATCCTGTCATCTGCCAGTGTGCTAGTCTGGGCTTGTTCATGGAGAGGATTCACATCTTCACCCTGAGGTACCATTGGGCATTGTACTGGCAGAGATAGTGTGAGGGTTAATGTCACTTTGGTAGACTCTAGACTCACTCAGGGGGACACATATGGACTTGTTGATGAGGGAGTTTCTAGGTTGGGTGAATTGGGAGGGGAGCACTCAAACTAATTGTAGGTGACTCCATTCCACAGGATGAGGTCTTAGACTTGATGAAAAGGAAAGCAAACTTAACAGAAGCGTCCATCTCTCTCTGCTACCCGACGACTGTGAATGCAGTGCAACAGACTACTTCACGCCCTTCTTGCCATGCCTCCCCCACCACAATGAACTGTGCCCACAAACTGTGACCCAGAATTAACTCTTAATCCCCTAAGTTGCTCTTGTGAGGTGTTTTTTTTTTTCATAGCAATGAGACAAGTAGCCACAATAGAAAGTCACATGACCCATCTAGACTCAAGGGGAAGTGAGGTAGTGTCCATCTTTAATTAGCAACCCCTATTATCATTGTGTTGTGTATATGCAGTGCCCCTCTTCAGCTCACAGTGACAGGGAATTCTGGGGCATCCTGGGCCATCTTTGCAAGGCACTGTGGCGTCTCGGTCACCCTGATCTATGCCACTGTCAGTGTTCCCTGGGATTCCTCCTTCATGGCAGTTTCAGTATGCTAGAGCATGCTAGCAATTTTTTTTGCTGATTGGTTAAGGGAAGAAACAAACTTGGTTTGATTTTTAATATTCATTCCCATTATTTTGAGTGGCATTGCTATTGTTTCCTTTTCTGGGAATGATCTGTTCAAACACTATTATCTCAGAGGGTCCAAGCAGCATGGAGTACGGAGTGAAAGAGGACCATGAAAGGATGGGAACAGGAGGTAAGGCCACTGAGCACACAGGTAGGATAATGGGGACTTATGCCTGCCAGTGAAGAGGATTTGGGTTTCAGAAAGCAAAGAAGAAACATGGAGTCTTGAAGCTGGAAGAATGGTACAATCTGAGCTGTGCTGTGTTCTAAAAAATACATGCTGGGGTAAAAAGGGGTGGGCAGTGGTGATGGCCACAGTGGCCTGGGCGTGGGGTCCTTGGGTTTGCAGTGAGCATTGTGAGGTTTGTACCAGGCGAGGGTAAGAACAGAGCAGCCATTATTTCTGAGGTTGAGTGTAGTAAGCGGCTCACTGGGGAAGAGTGAGTGGCTTTTGCATATCCCGGTGTATTTTGTGTGCTTCTGAGCCTCTGCAGGGACACGTCTAGCAGCCCGCTTAATGTTTGAGTGTGCCTCTCAGGATCAAGGTCAGGCCTGGAAATAAAACTTTGAGGGTCGTCTATATAAAGGTGATAAAGTCATCGCAAGTATTCCGTGAATCAAGGGCCCAAGACAGAGACTCAGGAAAGATGTATTTTAAGGGATGGATATATAGCGAGGAGACAATAAAACGGCTGGGAAATAGCAGTCATGACTGCCAAGGTGCTTGGCAGCTGTAAAATTCAGCGATTCTCTAGACACATGAATCCATCAGTCTGTTCCACAGGCGGCTTTCCCATAGAATGCTCTCCTCTGAAGCCAGCCGTCTCTTGTCCCCCAATTCTTTCTCACTGGTATAGCTGAAGTCCTTCATTCCAGCAGTCAGCTCCAGGGGCGTAGGTTTTGTGTCAGCCATTTATCCCACTTGTATTCAGTGTGGTGGGGAAGCAGCCCCAGGCATCAAATTGCAGCAAAGTGCAGCCCCGTGGCTGCCAGGCTGATTGTCCTCCAGCCCCATGTTGGGGCTGAATTGTCTTTCTCTCTGCTATTAAGTTTGGCTCCTGGGGAACTCCGGCAAAATGGTCTGTAAACTGAATACAACATAAGCAACTAGTCCAAGTTCTACAACTCGGGATACATGGATAGTTAGTTTGTCTGCTTTCCAGTGCCGAGTGAGCCAAGCCATTCTTGCTGCTCCCCCAGAAGATACGGTTCTCTGCTAGTAAGTTTTTTGATTAATTAATTTTTTTTTCAATCAGTAGCAATAGAGGCCAGATCAATACAGAAACTATCTGCCATACAATACAAACTGCTATCTGCCATAAAAGAATTTAGAGTCACAAGTATGCTTTGATTTGGGGACTGGCTCCAAGGTAAAATGTATTGATTCACGATGGGACCTGCTTGGTTACTTTCAAAATATCTACAGATAACAACTGGATTAAATCAAACCTTCATTTATAATCCATTAAGAGCTAAATGCTGATTAAGAAGTTGGGGAAGAGGATAAAGAGTTAAAAGCATCTCTCTTTTTCTGAAAAACAATCTTTGTTTTAAAAATAGATAAAATTATGCGTATTTTTCCTGTATAATGATGTGATGTTTTGAAATGTGTAATATATTGTGGAATGGTTAAATCTAGCTAATTAACATACACAGTACCTCTAAAGTTGTTCTGTAGTGAGGCTGTATAAACTTAGCTTTCTCAGCAGTTTTCTGGAGTATAATGTACTGATAGCTGCAGCTACGATGGCTACCACAAACCTCTTGAATATATTCTTCCCACTTAACTGAGAATTGAAAAGGTGTGTGTGTTTGTGTATGAGTGTGTAGCAGGAATCTTAAATGTTCTTATAATAAAATCACACCTGAGCCAGGTATTGAGGTGAACTGGAAGATCAGAGAACCAGAACAAGCCACAGCTATCTCACCTCGCTGGATCCTCAGCTAGTCTTGTTTCCTCAGACTGGAGGCCTCTGAGTCCTCATCCAGAATGGGTCTCAGCTGAGCTGCTGCTAGAAGCCTGAAAGCTTAACCAGCCAAATGCTTAACCAGGCCAAATTCTTCTAGTTTCTGGTCCTGATGCCTTATATACCTTTCTGCTTTCTACCACCACTCCCTGGGATTAAAGGCATGTGTCACCATGCCTGGCCGTTTCCAATGTGGCCTTGAACTCACAGAGAGCCAGAGTGATTTCTACCTCTGGAGTGCTAGAATTAAAGGTGTGAGTGCCACCATTTTCTAGCCTTTGTATCTAGTGGTTGTTCTGTCTCTGACCCCAGATAAGTTTATTAGGGTGCACAATATTTTGGGGAACACAATACCACCACATGTGTGTGTGTGTGTGTATGTGCACTCACGTAAGCATGCATGTGTAGAAGCCAGAGTTCATTCTTAGCATTGGTCCTTAGCTTCTACTTTTTGAGACAGGGTCCCTTTTTTGCTACTTGGCGCTGTGTAAGTCAGGGTCCAGGAATCCTATAAGTATCCAGGAATTCTGTTTCTGTCTCCTGTCACACAATAGGAATGCTGGGACTATAGGCATGGAATACTGTACCCAGCTTTATGTAGGTTCTGGGGATTTGAACTCAGATCCTCACACCTGTATAGCAAGTACTTTATCCATGGGACCATCCCTTCAGCCCTTATTTAAAATTCTATACTCTTTAGCCAAAGTCCCCTTTGTGCTGGTTAGTTATAAATGTTAACTTGCCACAACTTTGAGTCATCTGGGAAGAGAGTCTCAGTGGAGGAATTGTCTGGATCAAGATGACCTGTGGACATATCTGTGGGTGATTGTCTTAATGGTTAATTGGCTCACTCCCCCTGTGGGCAGTACTATTTCCTAGGCTGGACCCTAAATGTATAAAAATGAAGAAAGCTAACTGAGTGAGTGAGCATACAAAAAGGATGCATTCATCCATCTCTGCTCTTAACTGTGAAAATTGTGAGCCAGTGTTCAAGTTCCTGCATCAGCTTCCCCTCAGTGATAGGCTGCAACCTGAAACTGTAAGTCAATATACCTTTCCTCGTCTTTCTTGACTTTTGCCAGGGTATTTTATCACAGCGATGAAAATGAGACTAGAAAATCCTGTGAGTATTTCCTACTTAAAAACTGAAGTGTATCTTAAATTTTCTCATATGAGCCAAGAAACTGTAAATATAAGATTGAATACGTTGGGGAAAAGCTGTGAGTTCTCACATCCAAGGGTTCTGAGTCCTCCACCTCCTCTAGGAAACGGATAAGAGGAAATGTGAATTGAAGAGCATGCATATTGCTCAAGGCTACATCTCAGCTTCCAAATTCTATCCAGTTGGATTCAAGTGAGGATTTTGGAAGAGGTACAGGTGGGTTGCCTTTGTACTGAGCAGCAGCATAAGCTCTCCAGCTTCAGCCCAGTTCCCACTGCATCAGAACCCTTAGTAGAGAGACCCTGTAAGCCGGATTTCAACCAGGATCAGACAGTTCTGATGCAAACAGGGTTTGTACCTCACTGTTGATTGGGATCCTGCTGCCTTCTCCTCTGGCAATGCTCAGACATTGTATTCTTCAGGCTTTAGGCCTTATCACATTGTTATAGATTACACATGTGTTCTGAGATGACATCCATATTAACTGAACAATCAGTTCCAATGAAAGTATCTCTTTAAACAGTCGTTCAGGTTTTCCTTCCTAGCAGAATGATGGGTCATACCCATTGGCATGTGACTTGCTTATGTATAAAACACATGCGAGCATTTGTTCTTACTGAGTGAGGCTGGAATGGTGTGGTCAGCCCCAAATTCTTGGCTTCTGCTGAAGTGCTGTGGATATTGTTCTGTATAAATAAAACACTGACTGGCCAGTGGCCAGGCAGGAAGTATAGGTGGGACAAGGAGAGAGGAGAATTCTGGGAAGTGGAAGGCTGAGTCAGAGAGACACTTCCAGCCGTCACCATGACAAGCAGCATGTGAAGATACCGGTAAGCCACAAGTCACGTGGCAAGGTATAGATTTATAGAAATGGATTAATTTAAGATGTAAGAACTAGATAGCTAGAAGCCTGAGCCATTAGGCCAAACAGTTTAAACAATATAAGTCTCTGTGTTTACTTGGTTGGGTCTGAGTGGCTGTGGGACTGGCAGATGACAGAGATTTGTCCTGACTGTGGGCCAGGCAGGAAAATTAGCTACAGCTGAAGTCCATTTTTGGGTTTCTTTTTTCTTTTTTTTTTTTTTTTTTTGTTTTTCGAGACAGGGTTTCTCTGCGTAGCTTTGTGCCTTTCCTGGAGCTCACTTGGTAGCCCAGGCTGGCCTCGAACTCACGGAGATCCGCCTGGCTCTGCCTCCCGAGTGCTGGGATTAAAGGCGTGCGCCACCACCGCCCGGCCATTTTTGGGTTTCTATAGAAGAGAACATCTTGGTGTCTCACCTTCCTGAAGCCCTAACAGGTGTCCACTTATGCATTTATGATCCATATTTCAGGAGCACATCTGTTAAGTGTCTCCATAAATATATTGAGGAAAATAAATTTTGACAGTGTAACTTTTTATGCATGCTTATTATATATTTACCTGCTAATCATAAAATATATAGTTGGGGTACTTAAAAATCTTCCTGTTTAGCCTAAAAATTACCTAAGCTAGCATTATAATTCCCATGTTTTAGGGTTAGAAAATGTAACATGTAAGTCACTGTTCTTAATCTAGAAACCATAGTTCCATGGACCAATTACTTATAACTTGTCTCTAAGCTGGCCTCAGATTTGGTGATTTTTGGAATTCACTCATTATATGTGTGTTCTCTAAGCCTATGTTGGAGACTTGTCTCTTTGTTAAAGGGTCATCAAGATTCACTGAGTGGATCTCCTTTGGTCAGTCTCTAAAGGGATCAAGCTCTGAGACATGGATGGATATATGGAACAACTAGTATAATTCATAGGAAGAGCAATGAGTGAATTCCATTTGGTGGCCCAGGCTTCTCTTCCCACAGTGACCCAGAATCAACTCTGGTCTGAATACAGTAAGTGGAACTCAGTGTAAATAAATGTCTCCTGTGTTTTAAGTCACTTTCATTGTAGTATTTGGTTATGATTGGTCATAGTTATTAGTTATCTCTGTTCATCTTTTCCTAGGCCCAGTTGTTCAAACTTAACAGAGTGACTTTCTCAGAGATGGGAGTTGAGAACTACAAGAACTATGTGTAGCATAGAAACAGGAGAGTGCCTTCTTCCTTAGCAGCTAGAGAAACAAATCAATTGATTCAATGCCTTTTCCTTGAAATCTAGGGAAATGAGAAAAGATCTTGCCTGGAATTACTTTTTGCTAATTAATGCCAGATTCCACATTAGACTCTAATGGCTTAGGGCCTCTAGGTACAATCTTTCTTGCTTGTCCTGGACATTAATTTTAGAAAGCACAGGTTCTAGCTTCCTTGAGTGTGGAACATCTCCAGGTATCTGTGTTGGGTTTTGCAGTGATCCAGTTTTTGTGCACACTTAACCCAACACCCCTCAGACTGCAGCCAACAGCGCCTTCACTGGTGGGTTTACTTCTTGATTTCTACTTAGCCTTACATGTAGCCATTTGTAAGGTCTAGATTAGATGCTGAACCAAAAGATACTGCTGTGTGCAGTGCATGCCCACAGTAGATGCAGGAAGATGTCAACAGCTGCCAGGGGAAGAAGTCAGGCTACACAGACAGTAATAATTGCTCTCATCCTGGTTGTTGCCCTGCAGCTGGGTGGCTGAATGCACTTTCCCCAGTCCAGACAGAAGCCGAGAGAAGGCCGTTAACCTCCTGCATGGAAAAACCTCAGGCTCTTTTAGGAAGTACAGGTTGGAACCCGTTTCAGATAATTTCATCTTAACAGATGTGAAGCATTCACTGTATGCCTAGGGCTGCTCAAAGCCCTGTGGGGAAGAGAAATGAAAATGGTTACATGTCCTGTCTCAGTATCTCAGTAAGGGACTAAACAGGAAGCATGCTGTAATGCAAAGGAAAAATAAGATCATTTTATTTAGAAATGTTTTTTTTTTAAAGTGGCAAAACTTTATAGTGCTATTAATTTCAGAATCAAAATCAATTCGATTTTTGAATTTTCCAATTGCTGTTAGTAAGAACTTGAATAATTCCTTCGACATTTCATCTCTTTCTGGCTTTTGAAAACTACCATGATTTAGGTGCATGGTCCCATGAGCTGATTCACTCATAATCCCAACACTCACGGAACTAAGGCAGGAATACTGCAAGTTCGGAGAGTATGGGCTATGTAGCAAAATCCTATCTCATAAAACAAGAAGCCAACAAAATCTACCATAAGGTGATTGTATAAGAGAAAATAACATTGCATATGTAGAAATCCTGTTACAATGCTTAAATTATAGACATGGAAACTGGGAGACATGAACACTGGGGGAGATTGGTGTGAGTCACAAAGATACTTGAGTCTTTTCTCCTCAAAAGATGAATGGGGAATGACAAAAATGTATCATCAAAGGAACCACATGACTTCATAAAGCATCTAAAGTATGGTGTGGCTGTGGAGTGTATGTGGTGGGTTAGGATACCCTTGAAGAACCTTGAATACTCTCAATGTTACAGAGACAGAGATATGCGGTCTCAGACAGAGTGAGGTAACGGAGAAGAGATGAAAAGATGAAATAATTAATTCATGTGGAGAAAGGGATGGGAGGGCACAAGTTACAGACTCCATTCCTCGATGCTGTGGACCTCAATAGGAAGGTTCTGATAGAGGAGTCTGCCTATGTCCAGATCACACTTTAAGTGCCTGCTAGTTGGTGTAGAGAAGACAGTGAAGTGCTGGCCCATCGGACTTGTCATTCTCCTATTCAGTGTGCCACCCTGCCAGGATCAGAGATAGTTATATATCATGTCATATTCAAGATGGTGAATGAACCAGTTCGTCAACTGTTTATCCATGAACAGAGGAGCTGCCACAAAAGACTGCCACTCCCCTCAACAGTGTGTTAATGCTGGTTGCTCTGCCTGTCTCTCATCAGCCAGGAGTCATGGTGTACTAGGGGATGTCACATTGATGATGGAAGGAAAGTGGAGTGTGACCGGAGCTCATACCGTACAGTTTCCGATATAAAATGTATGTGACTGTTTACTCCTGCCCAGAAGCACAGAGAAGACATGATGGGGTGCTGGTAGGCTGGGAGCCCAAGCTCAGCTCTCCTGACTTCCTTTCCAAGCTTCTTATTACCATAGACCCTCTGGTATCCACTTTATATCACTCAGTTAATTGCTGCATCCTCTAGGAATACCCCACCGACTTTTCTATATAGGGGGAATCACTTGGTCCTTTGTTCTCATAAGACTTTGGATACATCTTGATCATAAAATGCTCTCTGCATGATTTTCTTCCCAACTGGTCTAATTTGTTATTTTCCTAGGCTAGCTTGGAATAAATGCTTATTAAGCAGATGTTCATTAAATAAGTATGCATGCATGAATACATGAACAAATGGATGAGTGACAGTCACATCATCATGAAAGTCTTAGTGTGGAATCACATTTTAATCCTGTCAGTGTCCACAGAATGGTTTTTCCATGTAGCACGTGAAAGGTATTAGTCCAAGATCCATGACACAGGATTGAGTTTTACAGTTGAACAGCCTGTAATATTTATGGTGCTGAGGAAATTGTGACATTTTTATTGTTCAGAGGTAATGTTCTATGTAGATGGAAGACTTTTTGACTTTGTAATATGTAATGCTAGGAAGTAACCCTACCTGAACAGAGTTGGCTTTGAATAGGAGCTGGGAATTAGTAAGATTTTTTTTTTTTTTTTTTTTTTTTTAGGAAATAACTTTTCAGCAGAATGACTTTTTATTTACTATGAAATAACGTCACCCTTACCTTAAGGGCCATAAAACATGAGCCGGAGTAAGGGCTATGCAAATTTATCTTGGGACATAGAATAGTAAAGACAGTGATTTCAGGAGACCACGTGAATGTAACAGCAGAGAAGAAGCTTGCCTGAACTAATTACCATGCTCATGCTTTTAAGATCAGGGTGTTTTTTTCTTTTCTCTTCTTTTTCTTTCTTTCTCACACATTTTAAAGTTTCCTTGATTGAAAAGCACTTTACAAGCAAAATCAAAAGGAAAGCAGCACCCCCAGGCAGAACAGTAAATTCTGATGTCATCGCCACTGAATATGCCTGTGGGAATTTACCCGAGTGTAAAAGGGCCTGTTCCTGGGACTTCCACCTCAACTGGTAACACCACAATGGCATTGAATTTTAACTTGTTAGGATTCCAGGTTGTCACTTTGAATGACTCAAAAATACATACTTTGATATAGCATTGAATGGAAGTATGGTATGCTTAGAAGAACAACAACAAAATACAGACATTTGGTGCATAACAAGCAAACACTTGGTAGAAAACTGATTCCTTTCATAGCTTATTAGGCAGTGACAAGCAGACCATGTGCGGCTTCTTCTCCTCAAAAGTGTGGCATCCACAACTTTACACAGCATTTTTCATCTTGGACGTATGTGATAACGTTTGTCTGTCACTCATCAGACTATGCAATTTAAGGCATTTGAAAATGCCACCTTTTTTCAGACTAGGTAATAGGATGCTACAGTCAGTGGAGGCTGGTGTGTCTACTGCAAGGATAATGGAGTCTTATCAAGTATCTGTGTGTCAGATATCCCTGCTGACTTTGCAGAGAAACCATGCAATATCTAAGGGTTTGGAGATGAGTAGATGTGATTGGCTGAAAAGTGATCCCAGTGACATGCAAGTGCTCATTCCTGAGACCTGTGTGTTACCTGTATGGTTATATGGGGAAAGGACCTTTGTAGATGGATTGTTAAGATCTTGAAATGGGGTGCTATTTTGAAATGACCAGACACCCCCCAAATTGACCACATGTGTTACTCTAGAGGGAAATGTGGAGCTTCTAGAACATAAGAAGACATGCTACAGTAGAAGCAGCTGTAGACTGAAGTTTCTCGGTCCCACCCAGTCCTGCCCAGGCAGCAGTCGTTTTTATAAAATAATCACTCAGAGGCTTAATATTAGTTGCAAACTGTTTGGTCTATGGCTTGGGCTTATTGCTAGCTAGCTATTACATCTTAAATGAACCCATTTCTATTAATCTGTATTTTGCCATGTGGCCGTGGAGTTACCAGTCTGCTGGCATCTTGCTCCTTGGGTGCTGGATGGTGTCTCTGACTCCGCCCTTCTTTTCCCTGTCTTTTGGATTTCCCACCTGGCTCTTATCATGTCTTACCATACACCAAAGCAGCTTTATTTATTAACCAATGGGAGCAACATATATTCAGCATACAGAAAGACAGTCCTCCAGCAAGCAGAGGTTGAGGTAAAGGGGCCAGGAGCTAAGGGACGAAATCCTGCAGGTCTGGAGGTTGATGAAGGTGAGAAACAGATCTCTGATGGAGCCTGTCAAGGGAGCACAGTTCTGCTGACACCGTGATTGGGTTCAGTGGACTCAGCTTTGGACTTTTGAGCTCTAGAACAGAAAGAGAATAAATTTGCGTCACCTTAAGCCATCTGGGTCACATCATGTGTAACAGCAACAATAGGAAGTCCCCCAGTAGTGAAACAGAAAGAAGCACAAATACCTCTACTCCCAGTGCTGGCATGCTGACGTGTAAACCTGATGAAACACAATGAACATCTTCCAATATGTATTAGTTGTTGTTATTATTATTATTATTAATTATTATTATTATTATTATTATTATTATTATTATTATTATTATTTATTACTGCTGTGATAAACACCATGACCAAAAGCAACTTGAGTAAGGAGGAGGTTTTATTTTTCTCTTATTTTCCAGAAAGGTAGCCATCTGTAATGGTGGGGATGGAATGGTAGTCAGAGCAGGAAGGTGAGAGATCACATCTCAGCTGTTCACAGGAAGCAGTGAGAGCAAGAGTTGGCAGTGGGCCAAGGCTCTACACTCTCAAAGCCCACCCTCAGTGATGTACTGACTCCAGAAAGGCTGCACCTCCAGAGGGTCCATAACTTCCCCCAAACAGCACCACCAACTGGGGACCAAGTATTCAAATCTTGAACCTGTGGGGACGTTTCTCATTTAAACCACCACTCATTGGTATGAGGTGTAAGATGCTTCTTCCAGTGGTATGAGACAGTGAGCATCTTCCCAGAGTATGAGACAGTAAATGTCTTCCAGGGATATGAGGTGCAATGTGCACCTTCCAGGAGGATGAGATGGTGAACGTTTCCTGGGGGTACTCTGGATCTCACTCAATGTGTCCTTTGGCTATGGAGTCAGCTGCTGGAGTTCATGGTCTCCATAGAGGCAGACAGCTAAGGAAATACATGTGGGGGAAGCAGGCACCTAGGTTAGGTGCAGCTTGTCAGGAGTACAGCTCCATCTAGATGGGGTATGGTGTTAAGGACTGGATGCTAGAGCTGGGTTTTGAAAGGCAAAGAGTTTTCCTTCAGAAAATTGGAGCAGTGTTGTAGAATATTATTTTAAAGTGTGTTACATTTGTTTATGCTGTGGAGCATTTGTCTAATGATGCAAAGATGTGTTGCATTCTGTTATGCTCCATTTGTTTAACTCTGGGAAGCTGTGTTACTTTGCCTGTCTAAAACACCTGATGGTCTAATAAAGAGCTGAATGGCCAATAGTGGGGCAGGAGAAGGGATAGGCAGGGCTGACAGACAGAAAGAATAAATAGAAAGAGAGAGATCAATGATAGAGAAAAGAAGGGGCCAGCCACCCAGCCACATAACTGCACAGCCAGCCACAGAGTAAGAGTGAAAGTAAGATATACAGACATAAGAAAAGGAAAAAGCCCAGAGGCAAAAGGCAATAATTTAATGTTAAGAAAACCTGGCAAGAAATAAGCCAAGCTAAGGCCAGGCATTTATAAGTAAAAATAAACCCCCGTGTGTGACTTATATGAGAGCTGTTTGGAGGACCCCCCAAAAGAACAAAAGACCAAGGAATAAAAACAACAAAAACAGAGCAGTTCTTGACAAATACTCTCTCTTTCAGCCTTGGTTCCCCCTGACCTTTGCAGGACCACGTCTTCCTCATCCTGCAGGTGGTAATGGACATCTCTTTGCAGTTCCCAGCCTGCTTACCTCCTCACCAGAGCATCCTCAGTTTCCCTCTGAGCCATGAGTAAGATAAGTTAGCATGTAGGCCTGGCCCTTCCACCAGGCAGCGAGCATCCTGGGAGGAAATCTACTTGAACCCAGGAGCACTCCTGGCTGGAAATAGGTGTTTCTACCTACCTGCTGAAGTACCAGAGGTTGCAACTTTAAGGTGTGAATAATGAAAATTCGGTACTTTTATTTTCCATTCCCTGTAACTATACAGATAACATCAGATACTTATATGCCACATGACCACTGATGACAACAGTTCCTTAGCAGATGCACTAATGCACCTCCATGACTTTCCAGAAGGTGCTGGCAGGTGAAAGTTGCAGGCCTTCCCCTTTCTCTTGAATACTTAAGTGCTTGAGAAGTGTTCCTTCATGCCAAGGCCAGCAAAAGCCTTCAACAGTTATTTTCTACCTCGCTTGATGAAAATTTTCTCTACAGGTGTTTAAGCCGCTCTCTACCCTAAGCCCTCCCTTGATGTGAACTTACTTTTGCCATTTTTGTTATGCAACTTACATGTTGGACAGATTCTGCTGGGCTCTCACCTACCAGTGCCACGCCTGCCCCTCCTTCATGGATACCCCACCCCCTTTTATAAGAGACTATGCTTGCTCTTTGTCTTAACGAATTTTTGTTAATGTTCTCAGCTCAGCTATTATATCCCAGTCTCCCCAGCTGCAGGGCTTCGGGGGCCCCTGGAAGGCTCTGTGTGTCTCAGGTCCTCAAAAGTTTGGTGGTAATCTAATTGTACTGAAATGTGATTTTGATTGTATGTTAATAAATAAAGTTGCCCAGGGGTCAGAGCTATTAGAGCCATAGCAAGAGTGTGGCAGTGGTGGCACACGCCTTTAATCCCATAGATCTCTGTGTGTTCAGGGATACAGCCAGCATTTGAGACATATGCCTTTAAGACCTAGGGGGCTGTACATTCAGACAGTGACATTAGATTACCACCACACAAAAGTGCACCTGTACTGGGCTCACTTGCCCTGCCTGGTTGGTTCTAGTTTTCCTGCCTGCAAGCACAGCTAAAGCATCTGTCAGAGATGAAAGAGGGCAAGACACGCCAAACCACCAGCATGGCAGCAGGGCCAGCTCCTCTTACTGTCTGTTCTCTGGGGCTGAGCACAGCATGGTGCTGAATAAATGGGGTTTGATCATCTGGTTTCAAGTGGGGAGACTCTTCTGGAGTTTGTGGAGTAAAAGCCAGAGAGAGTGTCACCGTTCACCTTAAGGGGAAAAGTTTTATTTTCCCTCGTTTATATCCAGCCCAGGATATGGAGGGTCACTTTGTCCTTCTCTAGGAGAGAAGAGTTTTAGAAAAGGCACAGATGAGTGATAATAAATAAGGCAAGGACTGACAGAATTCTATCTTAAGTAAGCATGGAAATTCTAGAGGCTCTTAGGGGATGATCAACTAGCCAGTTAACTAACCTTATTCACCCTGTGCGAATCAGGTCCCCACTGGTGACATTGGAGGAAAGGCCTGGACACTGGAGTCTAAGCAGGTGACGCTTGTGAGGCTGTTGCATTACTTTACCATCTGAACTGCTCAGGCTTCTGAGTTTCCTTTGTCAGGTTGCATGTCACAGACACAGACACAGACAGACACATAGACACATACTCACAGATACTCAGACACACACAGACACAGACACACCCAGACAACCCAGACACACACACACACACACACACACACACACACACACACACACACACACACACACTTACACTTACACCAGGCAGATTTTTACTGTGATCACCTTGATAGTGCAGAGATACATTATGGCCACCAGATGTCACTGCATGAACCAGGGTGGAAACTGGAGCCTCAGTACCTGCCGGTAGCTGTCACTGTACCATTTTCAGATGACCTTTAATGAAAACAGAACTGCCAAAGTAGCCTGACAGCAAATTTTATTAGTAACAGAAAATCCATCATGAGACTCACTATAGAATTGCACCGATTAGTTTTTCTTATCTGAGACAGTCACAGAAAAAGAGCCAAGAAAAGGACTCAAAAGCTTCCCACTTTGTCGGACTCCTGTGGATTGATGGGAAAGGGTCATCTGAAACGGTCGGTCTCGGATCTTGCTATGCAGAAACACCTTGGTAAGGGTGGCTCTTTCACTCTTTGAGATATTTCTTCTACCGAAAGTGGAAGCAGAGTCTAGCTCTGCAGGCCAAATGCTCTGCCTCAGAGCATAAGTTTCCCCGGGTCAGGGTCAGGCTCACTAAGAAGTTTTGTGCACAGCTGGGATGATGGTGTCACCTCCCACAGCTGGCATATTTGATGAGCCTTGCAGGTGCATCCTTGTGTCAAGGGGAAATTCAACAGGGCGAATCTGCAGCAAAATGACGTGTAGTGTGGTGTGGTGTACACCTGCGGACTCCAGGTCTAGACATCCCATGTGTGGTGGAGCCTGGGTACTTCAGCAGCCTACATTTCACTGAAGTGGCTTCACAATGAATATTTGTGCCTCTCTGGTCAGATACGCTATGCACATGTCTACTGCTTCTTGGAGTTATTAACCCTTCTAGTGTAAGAGTGGATCACTCTTGGAGCTTCATGCTGGACACTACTGAGCCAGGCTTTGGCTTACTGTAGAGAGTTATCAAGATGATTCCAGGAAGACTGGAGACAGAGGCTCTAGGGGTGGGCTGATGTCCCAGGCAGGAGATATGGGGTCTGCAGGTACCAGAGCTCATAGAAACATCAAGGCATGCCTTGTTGCCACCTTCAAGGCTGCTGCCCTCAGCATCACCTTGGCCAATCCTCTGTTGTCCTGTTAATTCAGCTATCCATTCCTTTAGAATCAGAGTCCTGTGGGAGAGCATCCCATTGCTTGAGGGAGCGCTATGCTTCTGTTGTCTAGCCAGAAGAAGCCTTGATTGGGTTTCCACACAGAAGGCCAGAAGCTTCCAGAAGAGTAAGTCACCAAAGCTGGGGGAGGTGCTTGAGGGATGGTCAACTCAAAGCCTCAGGCATTCACACTGACTGAGGTGATGAGAGGTTCACCAAGGACCACTAAGAGGCAGGTTCAGAGAGGGTGAACTTGAGGTGTATGTAGCATGCCAGTGGGTTCTGGCTAAGATGTCTGGGATGGCTGTGCATTTCCTCAGAGCTACAGTGTTAGAGATTGTTTCAAGTATCAGGCCCTGTTCGCCGTGGTTATAAATATGCTCTACAGTGCTCACAGACACCTTGGCATTAAATAGGCAGGAAGCTATGGGGGGCATATCTGAGTGGAGTGGACGGCCTCCCCCAGTGTGTATATTCTTGTTGGTGTGCTCTTTCCTGCTGGGCTGTGTGCCTGGGCCAACTCCTAGCACATCTGTCCTTCTTCCAGGCTCAGATGTTTGACACCACGCCCAGCATCTTTCACAGGATTCCTGGCATGGTCACCTTTGACAGCTCCAAGGTGCTACCTGCCAGTGAGCTCTTCCATAGCTTGGGCACTCTCCCACCTAATAAATCAGACTCTGGGCCCAGCTTAAACTCCGGAACTTTTACAGAGTCCTGGAGTATTTGCTGAGCTGAGAACTCTGGTGGAGACACCTCAGTGGTGACTGGTGACATGCAGTGATCCAATGCATCCCAGAGCTCTCTTGCCGTGGGGAACACGATTCCCACCCGAGATCCTTGGGCAGTGCTGTTTCCTGCACGAGTGCCATCCTCGCAGGTCTCACCCATCCTCAGCTCTCTGTGCAAATGTAGCCTCTCTTCTGAATCCAAACTCAGTTAGCTTGGCCTGTGTTGGTCCCTTTGGAGACTTTCTGTCATACTTAACTTAATTTTACTGCTAAATCCCATCCATCCTCTTCACTCCACTCACCCTTCACTCTGCATGCGCCAAAGGTGGATGAGGCACACACATCTTTGTCCCAAGATGCCCAGAGAAGCCCTTGTCTGTCAGAAGCCTGGAGCATTTATTTATGCTTCATTTCTCAGCAATTGAACTGTAGGATTTTTGAGGCTGGAAACAGTGGTTTATAATCCATGGTGAACTATTTTTTTTATACCCTAGTGCTTAGCTCAATATATACTTAATGATTTTTAAATCATTTATGGTTATGGTCTGCATTGAAGCTCAATGTACTTTTCAACAGAAGCATACCTTTCATAAGACACTTAAAGGAACATGACACTTTTTTGTGGTGCTTGTCAATAAAGGCACAGGTGTTGAATAAAAAAAATAAAATGACAGTGTATAGACAGGTGTGTTCAGAGGAAATACAAGGAGTGTTTTATTGCTGTCTGTAAAAATCATAGTGACAATTTTATGATTTCCTTCATGAGTTTGGAGAGGTGTGTTATGTACAATGCCCATGTGATCCTCACCAAAGTTTCCCCAACTGTAGATAAAGACAAGAGATAAGCAATGTCAATCAATCATGGAGAAGAATTATTGGCAGAGTTAATTGCCATGTTGTCCTCACCTCTTCGTGTTTCCTGTGTGTGTATATGAAGTTTGAATGAATTTCTCTGGATAGAAGTAGTTGAGAACCAAGATTCCAACGTGAGGAGCTGTGTGAAGACAAGGCTACGGGAAGACGGACATGGCAGGGATGAAACCTCTCAAAGCATCTGCAGAAACCAGCCTCTCTTCTGCAGAGGTAGCTGTTTCTGGCAAGGTGAGCGATTGTTCTAAAGCAGGTCCCTGCCTTTGGCTCTTGACTGTTAGCTGTTGCCCTCCATTCCCTCTGCAAGCGAGGTAGACGGGACAGGCACCTGCTCTCTGTGGATGTGTGTGAACGGTTTCCAATGTCATGCTTATCCACAGGAGAGGGCAGATTGATTCTTACCCAGACCTCTGTGAGGCTGCATCTCCAGGTATCTGTGGGGAAGCTGTCTGGAAACACACATTTTCAAACTCCAGAGAGGGAAGTGAGTGATGGGCACCAAGAGCCTCGCCACTGGCTTGTCTCATCTTTTTTGTCTCATCTCTCAGGGATGCTGTTGGAACAGAAGGGGATAATGGCTCATTTCTGTGCTCCAGTCCAGATAATAACTCCCACTTCTTAATGACTTCCTTCTGGCCACTGAGGGCTCAAATGCAATATGATTTTGCTAGCGAGTGGATGGTGTTTCAGTTAGATGTGAAATGGTTTCATCAAATCAGAGCATAGCCAGCAGCCAAACACAGAGGTGGGCGGGAAATATTCAAAAATAGTATGTAGCATCAGAACATAGGCCTATGCTGGCCATAGGCACCAGAGAACCTTATTTTCCTGTTTCTGTAATTGATTAACATGCCTTGATGCTGGGATGCAGACTTTGTCTCAGAGGCTTATGGGCAGGAACAATGTCATCTTGACTCTAAAGGCTGGTGGAGGGCATGGCTTTGGCCTTAGAGGCTGGTGGAGGGCATGGCCTTGGCCTTAGAGGCTGGTGGAGGGCATGGCCTTGGCCTTAGAGGCTGGTGGAGGGCATGGCTTTGGCCTTAGAGGCTGGTGGAGGGCATGGCCTTGGCCTTAGAGGCTGGTGGTGGGCATGACCTTGTCCTTGTCTCTAGGAATCTGAATTCAGGTCTAGGCCTCTTGTTATCTGGCTGCATAACCTTAAATCCAAGTCTTTTAACTTCTCAGAAAATCAGCTGTTTCTTTGTCAAATCACTTACACAACATCCAAGTGTTTTGCTCTCTAAATCCTAGGCTTTTTCCTTTGCCAGTGACAAATCTAATAGTTGAATAAGCATAAGCTTGGGAAGAAAACCACAAGTCCGAAAGACAGAGCCCAGGTGGCAGAGTTCAGAGGGGCATGATCATGGTAGACAAACTGTTCTGTGGGTGAATTTTAGCTTCAGTTGTTTCCTAACTGAGCCTAGAAATGAGTTCTTGGAGGGAAAATGTTCTTCATTCTGACAGACAGTAGCAGAGTGAGAGCTGGAGTCAGCCATTGGGTCATCCCTAAGAATGTAAAGTCTTTGTCACTGAGTGTAGACTTCTGTTTGTTCCACCCTTCTCAGTTTCTCTTCAGAATATCCCAAAGACAATAGAAAAAACAAACCTCAGTTATCAAACTGTACATATAGAGTTGCTTGAAATAAGGGAAAACGGGAATCAGTTAGGTTTGTCTTTGTACTTGTGATAGGTAATGAATGCATCCATCACGTCCACTCAGGTAGACATTAAACTATTCTGAAAACAGAGAGCAGTTCAACCAAGTTCACATAATAATTACCCACAGTTCTGTGCCTGGAGTTATGAGAACTCAGTTAAATGTGCTCTTGAGTCTGTCTGTATTTTTAATGATCATTTCATTTCCCTCATTAAGCTTTTGGGTTGCTCATTTGAAACCTCTGAATTGATAAAGTTCGTCTCATCTTTGTGTGGGTTTTCACGTCCTCATGAAAAGGTCTCACCGTCACAGCAATGGTTCCAGAATGTTCTAGTCAGCAGGCTACCTGAGTACCCTGGGTCGCCTTCCGAGTACAGGTGTGACCCTTGCATACTTTAAAGATGTGCCTGTTTGCTTGCACTGACCTCTGAGCTCCCTCCTGAGGAAATTAGAGAAGGAGAATAAAGCCACCAAGTCCCACCTTGCTGACGTGGAAGGGAGGGATGCTGTGTGATGGTGGACAGTCTTTCCAAGCTCATGTGTGAAACTTAGGTTGTGACTGTATTGGGCCTTTAAATGAGGGCTAGGGAAATGTCTCAGCCACTAATGTACTTGGCACACAAGCATTAGGACCTGAGACCGAGCCTCTGTCACTGTCACGAAGAGCCATGCATGGTGGCATATGTTTGTAATCCCAGGGCCGGGGAGGTGGAGACAGCAGAACCCAGGGGCTCACTGGCTAGCCAGCCCAGCCTAGTTGGCGATCTCCAGGTCCCAATGAGACACTACTTCAAAAAGTGAATTGTGTAGCCCCAGAGGAGCAGCATCTGTGGTTGACCTTTGGCCTCCACATGTATGCAACATGTGCACCCAAATACATACAAGGACACACACACACACACACACACACACACACACACACACACACACACACGCACATGCAAATGCATGCGCACACACACACACGGGGGTAGGTGGAGCCTGAGACAAGTCTATTTGTTGTCCTTATTAGAAGAGAAGGCCATCCATGGGAAGGAGGATAGGCCATCTGTAACCTAAGGAGAGAGCCCAGGAGAAGGAAGCCTGGCTAGTGGTGTCCATTGACTTCACAGTCTCCTGCTGTGAGAAGCAGTTCAAAGTAACCTGCCCAGTCTTCAGCATTTCATCATGAAATAGTGACAGTCCAATCCCAATGGCAGGATATGGCAGAGAACCAACAGAAGGAGTCTTGAAGAGGCTCCGAGAGCCATTTCTCCCTTCAGTAGAGGGTACTTTTATAGATGGATTATAGACTAGTCATTGGATAGAGAATGACTGCATCTTCCCTTCCCTGTAGATCTTACACGCTTGCATGCTAGTTAGGAGCAGGAATGTATAAACCACCCAGATGACCCTATGTATCCCTGACTAGACATCAAGTATCAAGCCACTGGGACCTTCTGAGTAGCTTCTGTGTTCCCTTGACTGTCTGGGAAGCCTGCTCCTCAGCCAAGATGAGGCTGAAGGGAAGCCTTTCCAGGCTCACACATCACCAGTAGATAACAGTCTGTAGCCTCCTTCAGTTTCTGAAAGGCTTGATTTTCTGTTGTGGAACTGTGCAGCCTGGGGGATCAAAGGGAAGTGCTGACCAAGAAAATGTCATCTTTTTATTCTGCAACCTAGACTTGAGGCTAGCTTTGTTTGGTGCATGGCAAAAGTGGCTGTATTTGTGCCTTTTGACCTTATTTATGTGGTAAAGTCACAGGCCTGGAAATGCATATCATCTTTCATTCTGCACAGAGCCTCGTTGTCAGCTGATAATGGATGCTCAGACATCTACATCATTGGCAGAGACAGAGTAAGGCCTGCCGAGGGCTTCCCCACTGAGAGAGCAATCCAAGAGTCTCTGGGGATTGAAGGGGAAACAAGAGAAAACAGATGAGGAACGTTGAGAACCGACCATCAGCAAGTAAAGACATCTTACAAGGAGGGAACTCCAACCATTCTGGTACCCAGAGCAAGGATGATGTCTTCATCTCTTATACAGAGGCAGAGATGGGGGTGGGTGGGTGAAGGCAGTGCTGAGTGAAGCCCTGTGCTTGACATGTGTGTGGCCTTGTTCCAGAGCCCTCGCTTTGAGCCCTTACAAAGCTCAACGGATGCTTCAGTCCCATAGCCACCTGGCCTCCTGATCTAACAGGACAAGCCTGGGGTGGGTGGCACAGGTGACAGGATCCAGGCACCTCTGTGCAAGCACTGCACCCCGACTCTGGGCTAGTCATCAACCCTCTTTGAGTTCCTGGTCCCCATTGGAGAGGTTTGGTGCTGTTCTACCATTTCCTAGCTTTGTGGCTTTGGAGAACAGTTCCTCACGTCAATTAACACATTAAAGAAACCTTAGAGAAGGCACCAAAATGTGTTGGTGTCATATTAAGGCAAGAAAAAGAGTTACTTCATTTTGTATTACTTTTGACCAAGAGGGAGCCAACATTTGAGTTCCCTACTTCTCTTTCCAGGTCTTCTGTAGTGTGTGGTTACTAGTCTGTCTGTGGTGTTCATCTGACATGTCTGTACTCACTGCCCATGGATTGCCTGTATATATGCACAGCTCTGTATCTGTGCCTGAGGAATCTGTCTCTCACAGAAGACTTTTCTCCGTGTTTTACTGAGTATCACAGAAAACATGGTACGAGAAAGAAAGGAGGGAATTTTTTTCAATAGAAATTGTTAATGGAGTTTTATAAGAGAAGTTATTTTTTGACCACAACTGACCCAGAACAGCATGCAGAACCTCACACAGATGTTATCGATCTGTATCCACCTGTTGTCTCCAACATTTATGGGACATTTGTTGCTTAAGGTTGCTTTGAGCCTGTTGACTGCTTTCAGTAATAATTACCACCACAGACACACACACACACACACACATATTCTGGGTATGGGTTGGAGGCATAGAGGAATACATAATTTAAGATTAAAGCTGTGCATTTAGTTTGGGTTTTAAAGCAGACTCAATAGGAAATCCAAGGCACAGTAACCTTGGTTCCATTGTCCCACTAAAGACAGGTTAAAGGCAAACAGGCTGAGCACACAGTAGGACAGCAGGCCAAGTACATAATTTTAAGCAATCTCAAGGCATATTATTACCTTGGTTGCAAGGTCCAGCCAACCTTCCATCTCTGGTGTTAAGAAATATTTTCAGAAAAATGTATCTCCATTGATACCACTTGCAATCCAGTTGATATGCAAAGATGGGGTGGAACCCTCCACCATCCAGGTTGGTTGTGATGTTAGAAGCTGTGTCAGGAGTGACTCAGCTGGTGGCTGTTCCCCTACAGGGGATGCATGCTAGTTTTCCACATATCCGGAGCACAGTGCAGGTGCATCCTTGTCCATGTCCTGTGTGTTCCGGCAGCGTTCTTCAGAGTCTGTCCTACAGTAACGATGATGGAGGGAAGGCATCTGGAGCTTTCTGCATGCTGGCTGTTCCCGAGGGTGCCAGGTGCACCTTGGCTTTCTTTCCTGACTGCCTTTATCCTGTGTTGAAGAAGCGGAGGGCAAAAGGTTGAGTAGCCTGACCAGTGCTGTGGTGTCAGGGACTTGTGGCCTGGCGTTTGGAATCATTGCCTGACTCCATAGCTCAACCTCCTGCAACCTACCGTAGTTCCCCGCTCTATAACAGGAAATAGAGATTCTAATTAATTCCTCCCCCCCCCCAAAGCTGATAATTTAGATAATTGCTTCCAGGTTAATTGTTATCATGATGGCAATTTTTTTTTTTGTTCTAAATTCTTTTCTCCTTCCCTCCCCCTCCCCATTCTTCTTTTCCTGGGACAGGGTCTCACTCTGTAGCTCTGGCTGTCCTGGAGCTTGCTATGTAGATCAGGCTGGCCTCAAACTCAACAGAGATCTACCTACCTCTGCCTGCCTCCTGAGTGCTGGGATTAAAGGTGTGACTATTATGTCCAGCCCAAAATTTGTCTCAATAAGAGTAGACTAGAAGTCTTCATAACCACAGATACGAGGTTTGAAAACTCCAACTGATACATACGTATTTATATGTGGGCTACTTATCTACCAACCCTCTATCTACATATCTATATACTGGCCATCTATCTATATACCTTCCTATTATGTATACATATATATTATCTGTATCATTTAGTTACCTAATATCTATCTATATGTTTATGTATCCCTCTAATCTATCTACTTTTTAATTATCTTCCTATTTTTCTTCCTACTATCACCTGTCTATCTGCCTTCTATCTATCTACCTAACATCTGTCTTACTTTAGGGAGAAGTGTTCTCACTTCCTTCTCTTCCCAACCTGAGGCATGCTATCCTACCTCAAGTATGCAGATTGATATGGAGATGGAGGGAAAGATGACATAAGTTTTAAGGTGGCCCCTCAGTGTGTGAACTGGTTTGGCCATTCTGTGGGGACAACAGGAGATCAGCAAGGAGAGGGCAGAGCCAGTGCTCCACCCCTTTGTGTTCTGATCTTCTTTGAAGTGTAGCTCTGGGACTCAGGAGAGGGATCTTACTAGTACTGGCATGGCATGTTGGGATCAATCACCATGATGTTCTCTAGGTACTCACAGAGTGAGGAACAAGGACAATTATGTCCTGATATCACAGCAAAGCCTAGGCAAAGAGGACACCATGAGGTATGCACACAAGACTCAGACTTGACATTTTTAGACACCCAGGCTCATGACAGGGCAGCAGCCAGTCATGCCTAAAATTGGGATGAAACCCAGGAGGAAATGCTGTGCACCTGGTACCTGGCAATTCATATTGAGCAGAAGTAAATAAAGTTCTTTTCTGAACATTCCATTTATATCCCAAAAGTCCTTAAAACCAACCAAAATGCGACCAAATTCTTCTACACAACCTCACGTGGGCAAACACTCACATAATATTACAGAACAAATCATCACAGGCGAGTGAGAAAAGAACTGTGTTTTTCTTCATACTTTTAACATTTAACACAATAATAAAAATTGTTTAAATTTTTTGAATAAAAATAAAGTATAGGAGGAAATAAAGCTTAAACAAAAAATAAATGAAAGCAGTTTTAATTCCCTGCCAGTGGCAGCTTCTTAACTAGCATTTAAATCTAATTAGCAACCATGAAGGGAAAGAAAAATCTAAACATGGGAACTTGTTCAGAAGAAAACCTATCTGTTGGAAGAAGCGGGTGGCTCCTGGCCCAGTTACACTCCAGGGGCTACACATGACTGTCACCACAAAGCAGTGGCCGCACTTGGAAGTGAATTCTGATGGGTGCAGAAAACATCGAACTTACAGAGAAGCAGTGTACGGCAGTGCTGCATTTTTAATGCACTGTCCCAGGACGTTCCCAGCCTAGGGGGGCACAAGTTCTTAATGTCCTCATCGCACAGAGTGGGAACCTGTGGGTTCCCACAGTGGGTTGAGATGAGTGGAGGAAGGCACCCTTACTGCTGCTATGATGACCTCCTTTGCTCTGAAATCCATGGAGATGAATGCAAGATAAGGCTGCCAGAGCTTGGAAGTTGAAACTTATTCAGCAGAACTCTGAAGGACAGGTATGTTCAACTAAATGGGTCTTTCTCCAGGAACCCACTCCTAACTCCCCTCTCTTTCTCTCTCATGACACAGGCACACACACACACACACACACACACACACACACACACACCACATTTGCACCTCCGCCGCACTCCATTATGTTAACTCATAATTAAAAAGAGCTGTGGATGGTAGCTGTTTAATAAAGCTCACTGCCATGATCCACTGGTTTATGGCAGGAAGTGATTTTGTTTCACTGATGTGTATAGACTCCATAACAATACAACTGGGACATTAACTCAGGTTTGAAGAATAATTGAATAGGAGTGCATAGCTTGATGAAGAGGAGAGATAAGCAACTCACAGAAGTTGAAGTGCAGAAAATGAGAGGCAAAGGCTGGAAAGAAAGGTTGCCATAGCAACTCTGGAAGCCACCTTTCCCCCCTTGGTGACAGTCAAGGTCAGAATGGGACCCGGTCTCAGTTGGCACTTGTGGAATTGAAGAAGTCAGGGGCTGTGTTGCCAGTTCTCTCCCAGAGTGCTGCTGGGGTCTTGCTCTCTTCAGGATGTAGTTCCGTCCTTAGTCTTCTCTTCCTCTCTCAACTCCTCTGTCTCCTCCATGTGCTGCCTGCTATTCTGCCCCATCTTCTGAGGCAGTTTTATTCTTTTGCTCTTCAATGGGATTGAGTTTTTTCACTCTATGACTTAGGAGTCTGCAAACAGCGCATGCCTTTTAAAATGACAGCAATCAAACTGAAACCCAAAGGGCTGTAGAGCCATTCAGAAAGTTCCCTGGGGACAAGTTCGGAAGCGGGAAAACCACAATCCCCTGTCTACTCCGAAGTATCTTCCTGCTAGAAAGCAATGAGAATCTAATCCTTTCACCAGGGCTCTTGAATCACAAGTGTGTGTGTGTGTGTGTGTGTGTGTGTGTGTGTGTGTGTGTGTGTGTGTGTGTGTGATATCTCACTTCACACCCAGATCATGAAGAGCTATTTGTCATCAGCAACAGCTTGACTTGGGGCAGCACCTTCTGTAGCTGGAATTGATGAGACTTAGGGCATTAAGACTATTTAGCTCTGTTGGTGGAAAGGGGCATGGATAGAAAGTGTTTATAGGAAAATAAAGAGCCTCGATTTCTTCATCTGGCCATGTCTTTCATTGCCCTGCCATGATGCTGGAGACATTACAGGCAGGCAGCCACACACTGGACCTTGCTCACACAGGAGGATGCCGAAATCCCAACCTTTCATCACTTTTCCTGACAAACTTCAAAAGTCCTCATTTCTTGTAAGTGCCAATTCATGTGGGAAACTGACAAGCTAAGTTCCCATCTGTCTGTGCACTTGAAGTCATCTTGCTTGTAAGCCTGCAGCCCACCTTGCCAGTGGGCACAGGCTTCTTGGCATCCTAGATGAAGAAAGAAACAGGAATATTGTAACCAGGGTACAAGCAGCAGCAGAAACAGACCAAGAGGACCTAATGGCAAGTACCCAGGAAAGACAAGTGACTGTTTTCTTTTTATCATTTTTCTGTATGGAAGAGTTCATTCTTCATCTCAGGAATGAGGATTCCTGAAGGACTTCCCATGAATCATTTTAACCTGCTTTATCTCTGGTTCCCATAGCAGTATGTTCTAGAATGGCAACAAGAGACTCCTGTTTATCTTTAATCAGTGTGGAGGTTCTTAAAAAACCGAAGCACATTTTTGCTTGAAAATATATATCTAACACATACCTGTTTTAAAAAATAAAAATAATTCTAAGAACTAAAGCAGGGGCTGGTGGGATAATTCAGTGGAGAAGGCGCTTGCCATGCAACCCATGGGAAGGTAGGTCTATAGAATTGATGCCATAAGTTGTCCTAACACACACACACACACACACACACACACACACACACACACACACACAATTAAAATAGAATTACTGACCATATGACCCAGCCTTTACCACTCCTGGATATTTACCTCAAAGACTCCAAACCAACATAACACAAATATGCATACACAGAAGTGTTTATTGCAACACTATTTGCATTTATTATATGGCCTGGAGACAACTTAGCTGTTCATAAATAGAGGAATAAAGAAAATATGGTTTGTATGCACAATGTCATTTTTTTTTAAGCCACAAAGAAGATCGGAGTCATGACACCTGTAGAAAAATGGATGCAATTGGAGACTGTAATACTAAACGGGTTAGGCCAGTCTCAGAAGGACCATTATCATGTCTTTTCTCTCATACATAGTTCCTAATTTTTTTATAGCTACAAAAAAATACATAAGAATCCCTGTGTACACCTATGCAGGAAATCTATAAATTTTTTTCTCAAAAATGTAGACTATATTAAAAATGACTTCTCTATCTTTGTTCTTCCAAATAGACAAAGCCTGATGTCTCACCCTGAGCCCATAGGTCACTGGGTCATGGAGTCCTAACTATTCTTCAAGGGCATAGTTGAGGTATGGTGAGAATTGTCAATATATCATTACATCATTTACGCAGAGGATCACTTTGATGGCTTTTATTTTATTATTTCATTAAAGAGCATAGTTTATTGGGTGCCTCAGCATAAAGGACTGAGAAAAGCTTGTTTTATTCCAGCATTTTCTATTTGGTTTTATTCCCTGTTTGACTTCATATGTTCTCAAGTGTTTTAAGTATGCAAACCTCATCACATTGATAATATTTATTACTCTCAAGGCTGATCTGATTTTCAAATCACATGAAAAGTCTTTTCTGGCTGGCCCCTTGTGCTCCCCGACATGAGAACTTTAAATGACTATGTATCTTCCATCTTTCATCATGAAGGGAAGGTTCCTGAAGTACCCTCTGCCCAGGGTGACTTCTCAGCACAGCTGGCCTTTAACACAGGAGGAGTAACCTTTTCAAGGCTCACAGAATTGTGGTCTATAGTCATGGGGAAATTGAGGCTAAAGGGTTTTGCTGAAGATTGGGAGCTGACACTGTGCTTATAAATCTGATGCAATCCTGAGAGGAAGCAGTCCAGCTCCCCATGTTCATGAGGGCTGAGATGGTTCTGGACCCCCGCCACAGGTTACCATCAAGATGAGCCACAGCTTTTGTTCCAAGTTCATGACTTAATCACGGTGATACATTTAACTGATTTACTACTGAAGACAGTTCTCCGAAGGCGATTCCAGTGTGATCACATCTTCTCTCAGCTGTTGGGAATCTTCTGCGTCTTGCTGGTGGGGTCAGCACTTGAACATTATTCTAATTAGGTGCTTGCTTTTTACCAAGGATTGTTATACATCACTGGTAATAATAAAGTGTTCTCTGTTCAGGAGACAATCAGACATGCACAGTGGCATCCAAGGCAGCCTGCATCTTAATACATTCACACGCGAGGTGGATGAGGGTATAGCTGCAGGAAAATCAGGGAGTCAACTTGATAGGATTATAATAACCATGGAAACAAATATCTGGATGTGTCTATGAGAAATTGTATAGATTAGGCTAATTGAGGCAGGGAGATCCACTCTACACATGGGCAGCGTATTTCCAAAACTGGGTTCCTGTACTGAATGAGGAATGATAAATGTGAACACCAGAATTTATAGGTCTCTTCTTCACTGTTACCTTTTTCAGTTATTTTGTGGTATCTGTGGCATAAATCACTGACACATCTTCTGTCCCTGAACTCTCTCTAACTTAGCTTCATTCAAAGACATGCCTTTGGATATATAATTGAGTTTGATTATCTTTTAAATGTTTTATGCAACAGTTATTCTGAACTTGACCCAGAAGGGATGCGTGTGACAGGTTCACATTCCCTATAATTATTTTTGAAATGTCCATTTGATTGGCATTAGAAGGGAAGTAGGAGAGATATTGAAATGTTTAGCATATGCACACAGTCCAGCAGCTGAAGGCAGATTCCTCTGTTGTTTGTAGTGGCAAACACAGGTAACTTGTCACAGTTGTGTGTAAATTCATACACATGATGTGACTGATTATTATTATTATTATTATTATTATTATTATTATTATTTTGGTTTTTCAAGACAGGGTTTCTCTGTGTAGCTTTGCGCCTGTCCTGGAACTCGCTTTGGAGACCAGGCTGGCCTCGAACTCACAGAGATCC